CGAGCCTTATGAGGGAATGGAGTTCGAATCCGAGGAGGCTGCAAAGGCTTTCTACAACTCGTTTGCCAGACGGGTGGGATTCAGCACCCGCGTGAGCTCCTCCCGCCGCTCCCGAAAGGATGGTGCCATCATACAGAGATCATTCGTGTGCGCTAAGGAGGGTTTTCGTAACCCTAATGAAAAAAGGACAAAGGATCGTGAGATCAAAAGGCCACGCACAGTAACACGCGTGGGTTGCAAGGCCTCGATGTCTGTCAAGATACAGGAATCCGGTAAATGGGTTGTCTCCGGTTTTGTTAAGGAGCACAATCACGAGCTCGTCCCTCCTGATCAGGTCCACTGCCTCAGATCCCACCGCCAGATATCTGGGCCCGCTAAAACTCTGATTGATACACTGCAGGCTGCTGGGATGGGCCCACGCAGAATCATGTCAGTGCTCATTAAAGAGTATGGTGGTATTAGTAAAGTTGGGTTCACGGAGGTTGACTGCCGAAATTACATGAGAAACAACAGACACAAGAGCATGGAGGGAGATATTCAACTGCTTCTGGATTACTTGAAGCAGAAGCAAGCCGAGGATCCTGCCTTTTTCTATGCCGTTCAGGGGGATGAGGACCAGTGCTTGGGCAATGTTTTCTGGGCTGACCCGAAATCGAGAGCCGACTACACCCATTTTGGAGACACCGTCACCTTCGACACCACTTACCGGTCAAATAGGTACAGACTGCCTTTTGTACCCTTCACTGGCCTAAACCACCACAGCCAACCGGTCCTTTTCGGGTGCGCTTTCTTGAAAAACGAGTCCGAGGCCTCCTTCAAGTGGCTTTTCCAGACATGGCTGACAGCCATGTCTGCCCGCGCGCCTGTATCAATCACTACCGAGTATGACCCCATTATCCGGTCTGCCGTCAGTCGCGTCTTCCCGAATGCACGCCACAGGTTCTGCAAATGGCACATCTTCAAGCAGTGCCAGGAGAAGCTTTCGAGCATCCTCCTAAAAAATCCCCATTTCGAAGCTGCTCTCCATAAATGCGTGGACTTGCCCGAGACATCCGAGGAGTTTGAGTCCGCCTGGCATTTGCTCGTTGGTAAGTACAGCCTTGGGGACCACAAGTGGGTCCAGTCAGCGTATGCTGACCGAGGGCAGTGGGTGCCAGCTTACCTCCGCGACTCGTTTTTCGCCGAAACATCCGAGGGCATAAACTCATACTTCGACGGGTACGTGAACGCCTCGACGAATCTGAGCCAGTTTTTCAAGTTGTACGAGAAGGCTTTGGAGAGCCGTCACGAGAAGGAGATCAAAGCCGATTTCGACACCATTAACATGCCGCCACTTTTGAAAACCCCCTCGCCAATGGAGAAACAGGCGTCCGAGTTCTACACGAGAAAGATATTCACGAGGTTTCAGGAAGAGCTCGTGAGCACACTCACCTTCACGGCCTCCGAGGAAGAGGAGGATGGTGATGAAGAGAGGAGTAATGATATTACCACTTACCGCGTGGCGAAGTTCGGGGAAGACCACAGGGTTTACCGTGTGAGGTTCAACGTTTTGGAGATGAGAGCTTCTTGCAGCTGCCGGATGTTTGAGTTCTCGGGACTTCTGTGTCGGCATGTGCTGGCGGTTTTCAGGGTGACCAACGTGCTCACTCTGCCATCGCATTACATATTGAAGAGGTGGACGAGGAATGCGAAGAGTAGTGTAGTGTTGACTGAAAGGGCTGCGGACCCGTTCAGCGGTTACTTGGAGTCGCATACTGTTCGGTACAATACTCTGCGGCATGAGGCGTTGAAATTCGCCGATGAAGGGGCTGAGACCGTCGAGTCGTATGATGTTGCACTTGGTGCTCTGGTGGAGGCTTCGAAGAAAGTTGCTCTTGTGGTGAGGAATGAGGGGAAGGGTTTTGCAAGTAATGGGCCCGCAAGAGATAAAGGTGGAGTTGGGGCAGATCAATATGGTGAGGAAGGTCAAGGGAGCTCAGGCCAGCAGCTATTGGAGGTTTGGTGTTTCTATAGTTGCTATTTTATGTGGTTTTTTTGTGTTTTACTTGAGCGAGTAATGTGATTTCCGGGAGATAAATCTTAATAGAGTTTGGTGTGGTAAATTTTATCCTGAATACTACTGCTTATAACTTGAATCATAGCACATAGGTGAAGTACGCCAGACCATGAGCCTAACTTCGTCTCAGACTTGTCTTTGTGGAATTAAATTGTGTGTTAGGTCCCAAATGTTTTTTAATGAATGAATCGTAAAACTCTGAGTGGAAATGAAATGTATTGTTTCTCTTTCTTTTGGTTTCTGTTGCCTCAATTTTGTCTTCTACAAATCCTGCTTAGTAAAAATGAACATATTTCAGTTGCTTTTTCATGGTAAGATGATAGACTAGATATGGTACAAGAAAAAGTGTTCTCCTTTCTATCATTAGATATGAATTAATGGCGTAATAGACAAGTTCATCGTACTAGTTTTAAGTGTAATAACGAGTATATTCTGGAGCATTATTGAAGTTAGCTATCATGTTGGCTCTTGTAATTGCAAATCCTCGTCTTTAAGGACTGATAGTCTTATATCACATATAGACTATATCAACCGNTTGGGATCTCTAATCTTTTAAATCTATGTAGGGTGACATGGATCAGAAGATTAATGAACTTTCCATGGATCTGGAGCGTGCCAATCGCAAATGTGAATTATATCGCACAAACCTCCTTTCACTTTTGAAGGATATAGAGAACCATAAACAATGCTTGTCCACTGAAGTTGAAAACATAAAGCTGAGCATGAAGGGTGGCCTTTGAGAAGGTGCCATTTTTGTGTTTTTTATTCTGTCCCATGTGGACTTCATCTGCAATTATCCTCCTAAATTGGCTAATTGGGAAGGAGTTCGACACTGCACATCAGCACATGAGGCTAAATCTCCCCGACTTTTCTTCACCAAGTGATCTTGTGATGGTGTGTTCAAAACTCGACTTTGCTGAATTTTTTCGTGAAAGTTATATAGTTGCTCTTAAAGGAATTTATTCAGTTAGTTTATGTGATAATCAGTCTGTCTGTTAGTGTAAATATACAATGTTAGTTGTTGAATGCTCCAACCTGTATTCATTTCTTCATATAGGTAGGATAATTGACAGGTTTGGTTTTATAATGAAAACGAGTTTGATATGAATTATTTTTTATGATGAAAACGAGTTTGATGTGAATTGGCTCAAAAATCTCCTATTTCCATATGGGCATACCATATTTTGCTACATTTCGGGTATGGTCTACAGTTAAGTATAATGAGCCTTGTTTGACACTTGTTCTCATGCTCTTCTTCCATTTGTGTGTGTGTTTTTGAGGTCTATTGTCTGCTTCAACATAGCATCGTATTTATTTGTCAATTGATTCAGAATTCCGTTATTATGGGGTTTTGTGCATTGAGGATTAATTTTTCATGGCATATTTAGTGTGAGATCTTAGTGATAATTTCGGAAAGCATCCGTTAATATTTGTTCTTTACTTTTTATGGAAATTAGTGTACTTAATAACTTTCAAACTATCAGCAGTGTAAATTAATGTATCTTTCCAGTGGTTGGACAGATGCAGGCATTGATGACTGAGTGCTTTTATGGATTTGTTTGCTGCAAAGGATAGTGAAAAGTAGCTGTTAAACAAGTAAGAGAAGCACTTATCACCACTCCATCGCATAAACTTGCACACACCCTGCACAGTGTATACATTGAGTCCCTGTGAAGAAGATTGAATTTTCCGTTTTAGAGACAAAAATAGAGCATTTTGCACTGATAAAGAAGCTTCTACTCTGTATTGTCCCCAGCACTAGGAAGATGAGGAAATATTGACATCCTAAAAGAATTCGAAATTACGTTTGAATTGAAGGATTTATTGAGAGATTTGAAATCTATAGATTTGCAAGTTCAAATTCCATGCACGTAGGGATGATAATAGAAGTCAGAGGAATTCAAATTTAGACATATTTTAGTCATTATTTTGAAAATTTTTAAATGACTATTAAAACCTAATCATAATCATTTGAAATTCATAATTTTAGATATATTTTAGTCATTATTTTGAAAAATTTTAAATGACTATTCAAATCTAATCATAATCATTTGAAATTCATTGTTTATCACCGTTGACGACGGTTTGCAAGTATGGCTCTTCATTTAGAATTATCACTACGGCGAGCCAAGGTCATCAGTGCGAGTTAGACAATAGATTTGCGAGTTAGACAATTGATTTATAATATTTTACGCTAACCATTCAAGGAGTTTGAAAGGTAAACAAAAAGTTATATTTCAAAAAAATTAGAAATCAATGGATTTCAACTCCCTCAAAACATACAAGTACTAGAATCATAAAAGAAGTTGAACAGGGTCACTGCGCAATCAATCATGACAAAGTGGCAGATATACTTGAGTTCAATATGTTTCTAGATAAGCTTAAACATGACAATTACCCCCATTGACATTTTGGTTTCACTTGACGAAATGCAACACAAGAATTTATGTTTGAAGGGAAGAGGTATATTTTCCATGGAGAATCACTTGAAGGAGTTAAGAAACTTGAAAATTTTATTCTACTCACAAGTCTAAAATAACACAATGCTTCCTTTGATACAATAACACCACAGGCCCAGGCAATGACATAATGCAAACTAGGAAACCTTAAAATCCCGAACTGGTTGAAATCACATTTACCAAGTGCATCTTCTTTTCAAACACCCAATTCTGTGGAAACCCAAACACAAAGAAACTCTAAAGTTTAGTGCACTTGGTGGTCAGACAAAAAATCTGGCGTTGGTATAGTGTTGACCACTATCGAGTTTCGGGAGCTGACCCTAAGAGTTACAAATATCATTCAATCACTTGTAACACCCGCCAGCCCTTGCTTCGTACAGTTGGGCCACCCACTTGTAACCGACAAGCCACACGGGCAGATCAGCTCTGTATGAACAATGGTCACATACATATATTTTGTCAATTAATCGTTGAAAAAATACCACTCAAAGCAAACTGGCCAGAATAGCCACAGGATCTGTTACTGCCGAAGGTGGACTGGTCGGTTGGGCTTGAGGAGGTATGGCCACAGGTGCTCGAGAAGGAAATGGGATGCTCACTAATTGTTCTTTAATAAACTCTTTTAATCTGTAAGAGTCTCATATTCATAAGAAGCTCAACATCAGATATCTCAAATAAAACTGTAAGACTGAAATAGAGTGGATTTAGTAGTTTCGTGTTACGTACTCAAATGTTAGAGTAGGATCTCCTGATGCAATGGTCATCCGCAATTGTGTTCTATCAGCTGGGTCTGTTTCTATTCTTGCCTGAATAATACAGAGCAATATTCAATTTATATATTATATTATTATATGTATATATGCTTGAAGTTGTTTGTGAGCTGGTATATTAACCATGTCCTTATGCTAATCCTATCAACATAAATTTTCAAACAAATAGAAACAAAATCAAGAGCCAAATATTCAACTAATGAAGACCTTGAGGTTTCAGTATTATTAGAAAAGAAATTCATTTTTGTTAGTGATTTTATATAACACATATATAAATATATATAGGACTAACCTTTATGTAACGGAAGCGAATACTTGCCCGTATCTTTTATCCGACGGCTACTAGAGTCGTCGGTATCCTCCACGCTCTAAAACCCAAGCCGCCTTGATGGTTTTGGCTCAACAAGAGATTTATGCACTTAAAGAATATGTAATGATATCAATTCAAATTGTTTTTCTTCTTCTCGTGTCACACTTTCAAGATGCACACAAGCACCTTATTTATAGTTGTCTTAATACAACTATTCACTTAATGAAGCCTTTATTTAATCTCAACTTCATAACTCCATATATAATGGAGGTGAGTAACAACTCCACAATTAAGTGGATGTTACAAGTTAATTGATACATGTAACCTCAATTACAAACAATACTCCCACTCAGCCACTTAAGCCGAGACAATATCATCAACATAAATCTTTATCAACAAATCTCTTGCCTCATACAGGTAATAGAGCGTGCGACCAAAATCAACAATAACAGTGTCATATTAAGTCACCATCTAACTAACATAACACCTTATACTTACGACAACTACTAACTGTTCAAAAATTACCAATAGCATACACTGTCCCTATAAGCATATACACAACATGGTTATATTCAAATATAACCGCCCGGGCTAATGTGGTGAAGTTGAATCAGTTATTTCTTAGACACTAATGAAACTTCATCTCAACTTAGTTGCTTTCCTAACATGCTCCGTAGAACTGTATCGATCATAGCTCTTGGAGGACATATTAAAGTAGCAACACTAAGTCTCAATTTCATAACATAGTTCTAAGTCAAAAAGGCTTCGTACAAAGTTGGACAACAAAATCCATAGGATTCACACCTTGACAAAGTGGGAATCATTTGTCATCCTTAACGGTCGTTCAAAGCACACGTAGTATGATGTACGTTTTATAACATAGCTCCCACTATGATGGGCATGTCACTCTACTATGTTATACGAATCTTTAGTCTAGATACTACTCAAGTATCTAACCCGAGTCACTTGATAAATATACTTAATAATCTATCTACCACTCGAGATTCGGCTTCAAGGCTTTGATATGAAATCAGGACTATTTCATATTCGACTCGATAGAGTCTCATCTTAGACTTACTAAGGCGACTGTAAAAATATATTTATGCAACAAATGTATAAATACAATTCATATTACATACACTTAATATGAATATGACATAGTCTCATCCTATTACTCACAACTAATGTCATAGGGCGATTACCTGTGTGATAAGCGTAATCAAAAGCCTGGTGACATCTTTACTCATGCCTACTTATGCAACATATGCTAAAGAACATATCAAAGAACAACAAATTTCATATATGTTCGGTGTAACATTATACACATCCATTATTCCACAAAAATAAAATTAAAATTAAAACCTACGCAAACCAAGACTCTTCACATGAGTTTGGAAAGCATCTCTGCGTATAGGTTTAGTTAAAGGATCAGCTATCATTTTATTTGTGGGTATATACTTAATGACAACTTCTTTATTTTTTATTGCGTCTCGTACAAAATGACAACGCCGTTTGATATGCTTGGTTTTCTGTGAAACTTCGAATCCTGGGCATACTGGATAGCAGCAGTATTATCACAATGCATTTCTACAGGTTCATCAACCTTTGGGGTGAGGTTGAGATCTTGTAGAAAATTCCTCAACCATATTGCCTCTTGAACGGCAATGCAACTGGAAACATACTCAGCTTCCATAGTCGAAAGTGAAATGCAATCTTGCTTTTTACTGCACCAGGATATTGCATCTCTACCAAATATAAAGGCATATCCTGAAGTTGACTTTGACTCATCCAGATCACCACCCCAATCAGCATCCGAGTATCCTTTTAATTTCAAGGAACCACCTTGATAGCAAAGTACCAAGTCACTTGTACCACGCAGGTACCGCAAGATTCTCTTGACAGCTTGCCAATGTGCAGGCCCAGGGTTGCATTGGTAACGACTTACCAAGCCAACTGCGAAGCAGATGTCTGGCCGTGTACATAACATAGCATACATCAAGCTTCCTACTGCACTAGTATATAGAACATTGCCCATTTTATGTTTTTCTTCATCTGTTTTCGGACAGTGGTCAAGACTTAAGGTTAAACCCTTTTCGACTGGGGTATCAACGGGTTTGGAATAATGCATTCGAAAACGTTCTAAGATTCTTTTAATATAGGTTTCTTGAGACAAACCAAGAAGTTTCTTAGGGCGATTTCTCATTATTTCCACTCCTAAGACATACCTAGCTTCACCCATGTCCTTCATTTCAAAATTAGAGAACAACCACAACTTAGTGTCGTTGATCATTCCCATGTCGTTTCCAGCTAACAATATGTCATCAACGTATAAAGAAAGAAACAAAATTCCTTCTTCACTTTTCTTGACATACACACAATGATCCTCATCAACCATGGTCAAACCAAATGCACAAATGGCTTCATGGAATTTGAGATACCATCGTCTGGAAGACTGCTTGAGACCATATATGGATCTTTTGAGGCGACAAACTTTATTGTCTTGTCCTTTTGGGACAAACCCAATAGGTTGATCCATATATATCTCTTCCTCAAGAGAACCATTGAGGAATGTTGTTTTTACGTCCATTTGAAATAATTCTAAATTCAAATGGGCAACCAAGGCCAGAAGAAGACGAATAGAGGCAAATCTCACCACAGGAGAAAATGTCTCATCGTGATCTATACCTTCAATTTGGGTACCTTTCGCAACTAAACGAGCTTTGAATTTTTCTATTGATACATCCACCCCACGCTTGATTTTGCATATCCACTTACATCCAATTGATCGACGATGAGGTGGAAGGTCAACAAGTTCCCAGACATTATTTTTAATCATTGAGTCCATCTCATCAATCATTGCATCTTTCCATTCTGAATTATATGGTGAATTCATTGCCTCTTTATAAGAGTTCGGTTCATCTACTTCTAAAGGAGTACAAAGAAATACATCCTCCTCAATTTGAAAAAATCGACGAAGAATTCTTCCACGATCACTCCTTCTCAAAGTAGGACCTTCATTATTTTCCAAACTAGCTGAAAAATTTCTCCCACTGTCCTCGAGAGGCATGGGGCTATGAGCATGATAACTTATCTCGTGCTCTACTCTATGAGGCCATCCTCATTTTGAGTTTGTTTTTCACTAGTGGAATTTAGAAGAACTTCATTATCTTTGGAGACCTGTTGAGGTAACATATCCCCCTCATCTCCTAAAGATACTTGCATTTCACCAATGGAATTTAGAAAAACTTCATTATCTTTGGAGACCACTAGAGGTAACATATCCCCCTCATCTCCTAAAGATAATTGCATTTCTTGTTGCAACTCATACAACTGAAGGTCTTTCTTAATTTCACCAATACTTGGGAACTCATTCTCAAGAAAATTGACATTGCGTAAGTCCAACTCAGTCATGCCACCATTTGGATTACTTCGAGAGGGCATTGAACCTGAGCAGCAAATGTAGCATATACATATTTTTCTAAATCATAGACTATTAAAGCCTTAAATAATTATTGTATATAAGAAAAATAATTAGCAACGTACCTGTGCCCTTGGAGGAATAGTCTCAGGTACTAAGGAGAGCTCCATCTTTAGATGTAATGGGGGCAATATGAGAGCCTGAACTGAAACGAGAGAAGCAGTGTTCTTATTTCCTAAAAAGAGAACAACTCGCCCATGATGCGCTTGCCACTCGGATTTAATGCCAATCTACAATTATATTTGGTACAAATTTCAAATTAATTAGTCTGTTCAGATAAAAGCTCATACCATGCAAGCTGCAGAAAACCGAACCATAACGTGATAAACGACTCTGCACCTGTATGTAAGGATCCTAGTATAGTACATGATAGGTCGAAAAATGTGCACGTTTTATATATATAATAATGTATTTTCATAAACTAAATTTATTCGCACGTTTATATTTTTCGACTTATTTATTATTTGAATGGATCCATACACATTGATATTTTTTATGTGTTATTTTCAGTATTTGGGAGCAATTTGTACACAAAGCATTGGACGGGAGTTTACGGGATTAATTATCGGAGTTAGCCCAAGACACATTAATTAGACCCACTTTTATTTTCTAATGGGCTGATATTAAGCCCAATTGCTTGGACAACTGAATACTTCAAATTGAGGAAAAACTCACGCAAATAAAAGGAAAAATACATTCAGGGTCAAGTGGATTTATTTTGGTGGCTAGATACTTAAAGGTTGTGGAGACCTGATCACTCAAAACTAATTTTTCAAGGAAGAATTATTTGCCACGCATCTGAGGGTGCATTATTTACGTAGCAGCAGACTGAGAAATAGAAAAAAAAAGAAAAAAAAACGCGAGAGCACTCACGTAGCGGAAAAAGACGCGTAGAGACGGACCACGCACAGAGAGAGGAAAAAGGGCCCGGAGCACACACGCGGAGGGAAGCCGCACACGCACACGAGGGAGATATTTTATCTTCTCTCTTTTATTTTTATTTATTTTTATTAGCATGTTAGGCTAGTAATTTTATCCAGTTTGAGGGGATGTTTGAACCCTAATTTCAATTTGTCTATGAATTGAAGGATTTATATTTATCGTTGATTAATCGAGACGCCGTATTTATTTTTGTTGATGAGTTGATTCATGTTATCTGTGTATAATGTTTATGAATTATGGTGTTTGATTTAGTCTGGCCAACTACGTTAAATATTCATAGTTTAATTGCTAGATTCGAGGCTTTAATCCGTAATTGTTATTGTCTCGTTTCGTTAGTAGTAAACTAGGGGTCGTGCATCTCTAGGGTAGCGTGAACATAAGTTAAATGGTCCGAGCTTTTGCGTCCATTGCTTAGACTGATCTATTTTCCTCGTAATTAATGCTGCTAGTGTATTAAATCTAGAGAGCTTATTCTAGGTTGTCCGCTAGTTAGATTTAGTCGAAGAGCTTATTTCGATTAAATATTCGGTATGGGAAAATTCGGCTAACAGAGCTTATTGTTAGCTAGGGTTGGTAATTCATTAGCAATTTAAAGAAAGCGTCGAAATTGATTAACGGTAGATTTAGATTGGGTGATAACTGAACCGAAAACTGGACTTCTCTTATTTTATTTGATTTTTATTTTTATTTTTATAAAACCAATCCCCCCATCTTTTATTGCTTTCCTAGTTTAATTCAATTAATACGAGATTGTCACAATTTAATTCCTGCTCCTCGTGGGATCGACCCTTACTCGCCACTACTACTAGTTAGTAGAGGTTAGTTGAGGAAAATAATTATAAATTTAAATTTGCCGCGTTGCGACGCGCGGTCAAATTTTGGCGCCGTTGCCGGGGAGTGGCGCAATTGAGTTGTGATTTTTTTTTAGTATTAATTGAATTAGGTAATTAGATTAGTTTTCATTTTATTTTATTTTTTCTTTGACTCTTTTAATCCCCCTATTTTTCTTTTTCCTTTTGGTTTCTTTTACAGGTGGTACTTATTATAAATGGATGCGTATTGGAGCCCGGAATGTGCTTACGCTTACAATTCATATTATGAATTGAAAAAGAGGGAAATAAGAGACCAACATCGTGAGGCTAGGATGTCAGCTATGATCCAAGAAGCCATTGAGAGTGTTCGTCAAGTTCTAAGGAAACCATGTCGTTTATGTCATACCACACGTCACGTCACCGACGATTGTCCACTTTTGATCGAGAGGTATGGTGCACGCAGAGCTACCGAGAGAGATTGGTATCGACAAGACGATTGGGCGTATTCAAATTTCGATAGGGACCATTACGGTTGGGGAGATCGTGGAAATTCATTCTATGAAAATCCACGATATTCTCGATCGTATGAGCCTACTTATGAGCACGACGAATCTCAATTCCACTATGGAGGCTCACAATATTTTTCAGAAACTTCGCTTGAACAAGAGACTAGTCCATCGATGATGAAGTTACTTGAAGAGTGTCAAAATTCTTTGATGGCTAGTAGCAAAACGATTGGTGATCTATTGAGCGAATTGGATGCCCGAGCCAAGAGTCGGCTATTATCTCAAGCCGAACCGAGCCAAAGTGATGTCGGAGACCTTGAGATGAGTAGAGAGATGGAGCTTGAGGTGCTGGAAAATCATGTTTCTAAGCCCAATGACGATCGAAGCGACAAAGAGAATGAAGAAGAAGGCGATGAGGAGCAAATTTTCGCTGTTACCGGCCCCCCCGATAAAAACCTGGTAGCATTTACTACTGCTATCGGGGCCCCCGATAACAGCCCACTCGAAGGTGAAAATGACGTAAAAGCTCCGACAATTGTCCCGAGAATGACTGGAAATCAATCTCTTCTATCCGAGTTCAAACAACCAGCACCCGAGCATGTTGAAAATCAAGAGCCTTACATCCTTGAAGTGTCTGAGATTTTTCCTCTTATCCATGAGCCCGGGCTAATCTTTTACCATGATCATTTGCCACCGAGAAGAAAAGATCCGGTAAAGCACCCGACACCGGACGAGGGGATCTTTCATAAGCATGGAGCTGAAAGGTTCATGCCTCCTTTGAGGCCACCTATGAAGCCGCCATGGACTGCTTGAAGAAAGCGGAGCAATAAGTCGAGCCAACGACAATAAAAAATGGCGCTTGTTGGGAGGCAACCCAATGGTGTGCGACGTGACTTCTTCTCTTGATAAGGTGAACTCTTTCCTTTTACTTTGTATTTTGTTCTCTTATGTGCAAACTCTAAGTTTGGGGAGATTCATTAGAGTGAGATATATTTGTGTGAGTTGTTGAGTTGTGCTCTATTTTACATATTATCTTGATTTGCTGGAGTATATGTTACTTGTATGTGGAATTTTGTGATGATGAATTGAGTGTCTTTTGGAATTATCATGCTAGTTATGATGACTTGGATTAATGATTTCTGGTTAAATTCTTGAAGTGTTGTTATTTGAGGGACAAAAACATGACGATTGATATTTATGTGATTTATTTGTAGTGACTTGGTCTTGAACTGTTTATATTTTTGAAATGTGCTAGTGATTATTCTGCTTGATGTCGATTGTGTGAGGTGACTTGACGTGGAAAGTTGGGAGTTGATTGTCTCGAAAAAAAAA